AAGGAAGGGAAAAAGATGGAAAAATACACACTAGGGTTTCCTATTTTACCCTTTTGTTTTCTTTTAAATTCTTTTTTTTTTCTTTTTTTTTTTACAACAAAGAGGCCCACTTTGTAAACATTTTGGATAATAACCTAAAATTACAACCCCATAATAGACACCAAAAGAGAAAATTAAATCCAATACTTCGGATTAAGATTTAATTAGAACTTGTCCTCTAAAAGTTGAAAACTTAATTTATCTCGACTATCTAAATTAAACTTAGATTCTCATTTATCCAAAATTAGAACTCCAAAATTATAAAATCCAAGAATTAAAATTATCAGCTTTGAGGAAAATTTGAAGACACTAACGATATCTTAAAATTAACGTACCCGAGAACGCGGGGCGTTACATTAACACCCTCTGTCAAGGCACAATTATGACTGCTCTATCAACGAACTGATCCACAATGCTCGACCATACCTAAGCTATGTCTGTGATTGCCCCAAGACTGAGCAATCCTACATGGTCTTGTCTCCCAGACGTTAGAGACACAGTCATGTGCTCCCACTTGATCTAAGTTATCCCCGTCGCTTCCTTTCTCGATCGAACCCAACGACCTCTAAAGGAAGATTCCCCTGATGAATTGGCGCTCCCAGCCAAGTTCATTGCCTTTCTAGAGACATCACCCTTGACTTTAGTACTTACTGTAGTCTTCTCCCTTAATGCACTATCTCACCTATGCGACTTCATCAGCTCGATCATCCGTCTGACATCTAGGGTATTATCCCGACAGTCTACTGAACACCTCACTGAGTTGTTCCCCTTTCCTTTTCTTCTACTTCCCAGCTGTTGTACTTAAACTGATGGTAGATTCTTCTGATCTGTCGTGACTGTTAATGCTGCTGATTCTTTCAAGTTTCACCTTGAACCATCTACAGCTACTCTGTGCATCCTCTGTCTCTCAGATCCCCTAGCAACCTCAAACTTAGACACATAAACAGAAGATCTCTTGTGGCCTGTTGCCACCACCCTGGATTCCCTCTTGAGCTTCCAACAACCCCCAACAAACTCACTACTGTATCAATCGTCGTCTAGCTTCCCTGCGGATAACAAATTAAATCTGAAGCTAGGAATATAACTAACGCCTCGTAGCACCAACTCGGCTCATTCGCCTATCTTCAAACAAGCATCTCCAATTCCTCCCACCTTGGAGATACCCTCATTCCCCATCCTCATTGAGCTATAATCACCTGTAGTAAGAGATGAGAATCAACATCTGTCTAAAGCAACATGTGTTGATGCTGCAGTGTCTACTACCCACTGGTCTACAAATATGTTCCTATTAACACAAGCCAGAAACTCTTCAACCCAATCTTCTTCTGTTACGGCATTTGTAGAATTGTTCCCTTTCTCAAAACCTTGTTTGAACTTTCTACAAAAACGTTTCATGTGTCCCTTTTTGTGGCAGTAATAACACTTCACTTCTTCACTGGAACTCCAACTACCCTTGTTATATCTCTGCTGCTGCTTCCCGTTGTAATTCATCTTTGCCCTCCCTTTGTTCTAAGCTACCAAAGCTGATTCAACCCCATTCTCTGCCCCTGAAGTAGATGCAAATATTTTCCCTAATTTTCTCCAGACTTCCTCAGATAAGGCAACATCACAAATGGCTGAAAATTTCAAGTTATTTTTCCCTAGCGAATTTGACACCGCGGTCTTCATCGACTCCCAACTGTCAGGCAAGGATGTCAACAACCTCATAGCCTTCACATCTTCTTCAATCTCAACACCCATCCTAACTAATTTGTTCAAGATATCGGTGAACTCATTAATGTGGGAATTCACCGAGGTTCCCTCATCCATGTGGATATTAAAATACTTCGTCCATAGAAGTATTTTTGTATTAGCAGAAGGTTTTCATACCTGTCTTGCAAGGCCTTCAACAATTCCTTCACTGTAGTCTCTTTCGCAACCAGCCTTCAAATATTCATCGACAACGACATTTTGATGTTTGCAACGGCCTGCTCATCCATCTCATTCCAATCCTTGTTCGGCATCCCCACTGGTCTCCCCCCTAAAGTCTTATGTATCTTATAGCATGTAAGAAGATCCTTTACTTGCATCTACCAAAAGCTGAAATTCTCCCCATTGAACTTCAGAACCCCTTCATAGTAATAGTGTGTGTGATATTTGTCTCCCATGATACTGCAACCCTACAGCTCTGATACTGCTTGTTGGGAAATTTACAGTCTTGTATAATTTTCCTTTTCATAGTAATATTCAAACATAACCAACCACAATATGCAAATAGGAAGAAAATTATAAAAGCACAAGAATAACGACACAACAAATTATACTGGTTTACCACTAAGGGCTACGTCTAGTCTTTCACTCAGATGTGGGTAATTCGCTAATAATTGTTTAAGGATTGGAATACAAAATTGTCCCCAAAAATATCCCTTAGAGGTTCCAAAAAAAGCTTCATAGCTTATAAGTATTATAACACACTATACTTAGGTACAGGAATGAAAAACACTCAATAAACCCATGGGATACAGAATCCCTTTCAACACTGCCCACAACCACTCAAGTCTCTTTTATTTGGATACTGTACAAATGGAACCTTAACATAAGGGCTCTATTTATAAGAGGTCAAACATCCTAATTATTATAGAAAAACAATATTGTAATCCTTATAAGACAATAATATCCTACTCCTTGTAGGAATTGGTAACAGTGTTGAAAATCCTTTTCTTCATAGGACATGAGTTTCCTGTTTTGACTCCATAATCCCAACACCAATGACCTTCAAGAAGGGAGATTGAGTGTGGCTTCATCTAAAGAAAGATTTCCCAAATGAAAGGAGCTCCAAGCTAAATCCAAAGGGAGATGGACCATACCAAGTGCTTGAGAGAATAAATGATAATGCATACAAGCTAAACCTCCAAGGTAATTACGTCGCTTAAGGCTGGGGAAAAAAGAAAAGTGGGGAAGAAGTAGGGGGCGTGTGATTTAGGTCTGGGGCTAAGCGAAGAAATCCCAACAACGTCGTATAAAATGCGACTTTCTAGTTCTTCACAAGCCGAGCGACAAAAAAGTGAGGCGTCGCTTTTAAATGCGACGAAATTACTTTTCGTCGCTTCAAAATGCGACGAAAACGTTTGTGTTGCTTGGTTAAGTGACGAAAACTGGTTTCATCACATTTCTTAGTGACGAAACATCTTTTCGTCACTTTTTATGCGATGAAGACATTTTCGTCACTTAATTTCGTTGTTGTATCCCATATTTCTTGTAGTGTAAGTATGAAGTTGATTATACCTTCAACGTGGTTGACCTTAGCCCTTTTGACGTAGGTAATGATTTGGATTCAAGGACGAATCCTCTTAAAGAGGAAGGAGATGATGTGCATCAAGGAAACCAAATATTACTAAGAGGACCGATCACGAGGTTGCAAGCCAAAAAGGTGCAAGACTCCATCAACAAGCAAGTTCAAAATTTACTTCTTACAGTCAGACTAGAGTGCAACAAAGAGGAAGGAGATCTCCACTTTAATATTTGGAATGTTAAGCTTAATGAGAAAAAAGGACATATTGAGAACGAAGCTACAAGCCAAATTGGAATACCGAAAGTCGAAGACTCCATTTCAAATATTATTTAGAGTTTATTTAGAGTTTAAACCTTAAATTTTGTGTTTCTTTGTATTTCTTGTTTTACCCTTCCTTTGGACTCAATTTGTAACTTTTGTAATTGCCTTTAGGCCCAAGTGCAAGGTTTTGTAGGTTAGTTATGTCCCTTTATTAGTTTAGTCTAGGTTTAGTTAAAAGTCTTTTTCTTTAACTTTTTTATAGAATTTCAAGATGCCTATATATAGGCTTCTTCTTGTACATTTAAGAGGTTGAATTATTGATGAATGAAAATAACCATTGAGCTTTATTCTTTGCTCCCAAAACTGTGAGCATTTGGTGCATCTTGATCTAGTTGCACAGAACCTTTGAAACATGCAAGTTTAGGTTGGTCATCAAACTTGTGGAGTGTTTCACTTTGGATCTAGAACAAGTTCTCTCTATCTAAAGCCTTGACCTTCAAGGTAAGTCTCTTTCTTCTTCCTCTTAGGTGATTCTTTGTGTGTGTACTAGGTGTTGCCGTGTCTCTGCTTGTTCTTACAAGAGTTACCTAAGCCACTTGTGGTGTCTATTATTGGCTATTTCTAATGGATGGTTTCTTCAACAACTTGATTTTAACAATGCATTTCTAAATGTGATGTTAAAATAAGATGTCTATATGTCTCAGCCCAAAGGATACGAGGATTCTTCTCAACCAAATTTTGTTTGCAAACGTCACAAGGCCATATATTGTCTTAAACAGACGCCTTAAGTGTGGAATAATAAATTGAAGTCCAGCTTATTACAGTGGGGTTTTATGCTTTCAAAATGTAATGCCCCCAAATTTCAAACAACTTAAGTGGGACACATTACTAAAACCTCTTACTCAACTCAACATCAACAAAATCAAATATCTACGTTTTGCTCAACAATTTCATATAAGTAGACTTTATTAACTCAAAGTTCCAATATCAGAACTCAAATAACTCAACATAACTGGAGTTCTCAAAAGAATAACTAATTGTCATCTTAACACATCCTTTAAACATAAAACTTAAACAAACCAACCTGCTGATGAAATAACAAAAAGAAACAACTCCAACTATCCTATTTAAAATAAAATGACGCAGTGCTATATGGTTCTTCTAGTCAAGTCTCCTCCTCGCCATCACCATTCCTGTGTGTGACCTCGTTACCTGCAAAATTTGGGGGAAAGGGGAAGGGTGAATACAAAAACTAGTACTCAGTAAACAGCTCTTACCTAAAGGGTCACACATAAACAACATGCTTACACAACAGCAAACATCATGCCCAATATTAATATTATGTTTTAAATAAAACGGAACGGTTTATGCATATACTTGACCCAATATGCAACCTACATGCCAAACCCAAGTCTTACATCACAACTCGCTAGTTCTCTTTCCTATTCCTCCAAGTCTTACTCCTTCGAGTCGTATCGACCCCTAACCATCTATCCAGAGCCTCAACACTTCTCTACGGCACTTGGCGTTCGACCCTTGACCATATACCTAAGGCCTCGAACTATTGCACCGACCCTTAACTACGCATAGCTAAGACATCGATGACTTTGCAACATATTGGCCTTTCTCCTTTCCTCTCAAGGCCCCAATACTTGTCTTCCTCTAAGACTCATTGCATCGACCCTCGACTATTTACCCGAAGCCTCAACACTCATGTTTGTCCAAAGTTGACGTATCGACCCCCGACCATTTACCGAAGCCTCGATACCCAACTAGTGACGTATCAGTCCTTTGGCCCTGATACTCACCCATTCTCTTCATAACAGAACCAAACTCTCACTGAAGTCCTGCATGCTTCTAAGTTTGATCCATGCATCAATTATCTCATAATAGTCCAGTAGGCAATAAACACAAATCATACGTCAATACCAATCAACTTAAATATGTCCAGCATGACCCATCAACAGCATATATAATTCACAAGAGAGGCACAACCAACAACATAACCAACAACATAACTAATATCTCATCTAGAATTATATGAATAGTAACAAGTACATAGTATAAACAGCCATAAACAAGCAAACACAAGCACAAAATCGATTCATACATCAAAGAACAAACATCCCTAAAAAGTAAGAACTACTTACAAAAGTATGTCATAAAGCTCCTAAGCTTGTCGAGGAGTTCCTAAATAAAAGGAATACGATCTCGAGGTCAGTAACCAAATAGAAACACTTCAATATAATTGAAACCGTGTTTAGGTGAGTAGTTACCTACTAACTCACACTAAAACAACTTGGGTTAGGAGTGGATAGACGCCGAGGAGGTTCGGGCTCCCAAATTCAAGTTCAAATGGCCTTAGGCTTGCTATTCCGATGTGAAAAAGTGATGGGTAATGTCGGTTTGAGTCCAAATAGGGGTGGGTATCACACATCGAGGCCTGTTTCGGTATGAGTCAACGCCAAAATAATGTCGAAAGGCCTAGAGGCTGAGAAACATCACCAAGCTCACTAGGCTTCATGAATCTTGGCTGTTCGGAGTTGTCGGGCTGGAGAATGTAGTGAAAACCCCTCTGTTTGTCATGTGCCGCCATGGTGACTTATCGGAAAGTGTAGGAATGTCAGAGAAGGAGGTGCGCCACCGCAGAATGCGGGGTCTGCTCGATTCTCACCGCTGCAGGTTTGTTGGAACGTCGAGGAAGACACCGTCACTGCTATCAGATGTCACTGCTGGAGTCGCTAACTCGCTGTCGCCGTTCGTCAAGAAGAAACGTACAAGGAGGATGCCGAAGCGATGCTGCTCAAAACCCCCGCTGATGTCGAGTTCTGTCGGAAACACGCCATCGTGCACTACCACTACTCAAGTCGTCTGCCGCCGCTGAGCTTCGCTGAAGGAGCAGCTTTGACCGGAGAAGAAAACCTAAGTAGGGGGGGCGGCTAGTAGCAAAAGAGAAGGGAAGGGAGGAGAAAATTTTCTAGAGTTTACTTTTGTTTGCTTTCTTTTCTTTTCCAAACAAAAATAATAAACCAAACTAAAAGTCCAATGACCTTAAATAAAGATGAATTTTTTTCCTAATCTTTTTGTTAAAAGAAACCTTCTTTAAAAAAAAATTTAGAGAATTTATTTAAGAGATTAACTTAATTAAAATCCAATAATAAAATCCTAAAGAGAAAATTAAATTTCCAAAACTTTGAATTAAGATTTAAATCAAATCTCTTTCCAAAATTTGAAAACTTAATTTATTTTAACTAACTGAATTAAACTTAAATTCTAATTTACCTAAAATTAGAACTCCAAATTAAATCCAAGAATTTAAATTAACAGCTTAAGACAAAAATCCAAAGGTTCAATTTAAATCTTAAAATAAAAATAACCTGATGTTTCATTATACTACTCCTATCACAATGATATTATGGTTTTCCTTCTCCTATACGTGGAAGATGTCATCGTCACCAAAAATAACTCTGTGTTTGTTGTTAATCTCATTCCTAACCTTGACTCCAAGTTTGCTTTAAAAGATTTTGGTCACTTAAGCTATTTTTTGGGCATTCAAATTACATATCTCCCATCAAGTATTCATCTAAATCAATCAAAATATATTTTTGATTTGGTAGAAAAGGTCCATCTGTAGGATGTTAAGCCCTGCTCGAATCTTCAGTCACTAGAAAAAAACTTTGACCATACATGACGGTGAGCTCTTGATGATTCATTGATTTATCACAACACCATAGGGACTCTTCAATAATTAACCAACACCCAACTAGGCATCACCTTTATTGTGAACAAACTCAGTAAATTTATTAAAGCTCCCATTGATAATCAATCATGGAAGGTTGTCAAACGTGTTCTATAGTATCTTAAAGGTTCATCTAATATTAGACTACTCATTCAACCTTGTTCTGAATTTAATATAATTGCTTTTTCAGATGTCGCTGCATATTGTGTTTTTATTAGGTCTACTCTTATCTCATGGTCCTCGAAAAAGCAAGTAGCACTCGCATGATCTAGCACCGAATCTGAGTATCGTGCACTTGCTCATGCCTCTGCTGAAATTTTTTGTATCTAATAGTTGTTTTAGGAACTTGGGCTTTGTTCTTACAAATAAAGCAAGTCAACTTCCCATAAGTTCTCCTCGGTCATACAAAAGCTAGCATACTAAACAAGATGGCCAACAATGTCTAGTAACATGTATGAAATACGCACAACTCTATTTAATAATGAAATGAAACAGCTAGAGTTTCGGTTGTTCAACAGTTACAACATTTAAATCTCCCCCAAAATGGGATTTAACTCATGGGGGAGGGAGAAAATGAAATGGGCAAAGAAATGTTACAACCCATTTTAGATAAAAGAGAAGAAAACCGAGCATGAAGACAATAGCATGCGATAACAACAGAAGCTCCTCTCTATCGTCAACTCTCCCCCGAAAAATCATGAGATTCTTCTCCCTTATCTTTTCCAACACCCAAGAATGTTCTCTATTATGATCTGTGTATATCGGCTAGGGTATCTAACCCTTTTATATCGGGTCCCAATTTTATTGCACCCAGCTGGTGTTGTACGAGCATGGTAAATTATCCTGTATTTGGGACAGTTATTGCACTGTAATTCATGCTTCAGCGATTGTTTACTCCAGCTATTTTACGCCCTGCCTTGAACATGATTTTTCCACTCATTTCTGTGCTCAGCGCTTTCTTCATGCTTTATCTGCTTTTTCCAAACTTGCGCATAAAAGCCAATAACAAAAGGATCCAGCACAATTTTAAGCTAAAGCATTCAAGACTTGAGACTTTAGCTTAGAATTCAATTTCTAAGATTATCCATGATGTTTAAGAGCTAAAATAGACACACTTTAAGATTTCTTTGTACAAAATTACCCAAATAAGTACTAGAATAACTCTCTTTTGGAGAGTTATCAGTTGCTACCTAAAAAGTTTTCTATGAGTGGCTGTGGTTGGAAGCCCATGTTAGTGAGTGGAAAATCTCAGGGACTAGTAGTTGGTACACGTGCTTCTTAATGTAAATTTTTGCATCAAAACGGAAGTTTGCAAATTCCATGGTTTTGTAAAAAGTTTTTCGTTTTAGGAAGAAAGATGATTAATAATCATTTTTATTTTCAAAAACAAGAATGGTTTATGACATATTGACTTGAAATTAAGGTTAGGAAGTTTAGCTTGTGGAGTTCTTCCTGCAACAAAAATGATTCATTTACTTGGAATATTTGGATTCTTGTTCATTCATCTTTTTAGCATGTTGATTATTTTGGAGTTGTTGTTGTTGTTTTTGCTTCAGGACAAACAAATGGCTAAGTTTGGGGGTGTGTTAAGTTTGACTTTTAACTGCAGAAACATGACTGTCGAGACATATTTGACCATAAAAATGAGATGTTTTAAGAAAAATTGGAGTAAAACCACGAAGGAAATTATTTCTTCATCGTGAGAGTTCCCTTTTGTTAAGTGCATCAAACCAGGTTAAAAGTGTTTACATATTCTTAAAATAAAATATAAGGGGAATATTTCTAGGTAATTTGCAATATGAGGTGTTTTAAGAAAAAATAGAATAAAACGTGGTCAAAGTTGACAAAAACTCACATAATCCCTTTTGTTGTAGGAACTATGTGCCTAACGCAATTTTGGTAATTTTTTTCAAAATGTGCGTTTCACCTATAGAGGAGAGGACACGAGAGTCATTTCACAAGTGTTTAGTTGGAAAGAAATCAGTCCAGTCTAAGTCAAAATGGAGTTGTTGGGATTGTAACGCCCCGCATTACTCAGGTAAGGTTAACCTCTAGCCACGAGTTTTTTTCTTTGTTTGTCAAAAATTTATTCCGAAGTATTTAAATTGTATTACCTTATTTTAATTGGTATGGCGGTGGTGGTGGGTTTTATCCCTTAGTTAATGAAGTAATTGTTTTTGTTTTTTTTTTCTCTAGGCTGTTGGGCTTGTACGTTTATTCTGGTTATGAGAAGACAATTAAACGGGTATCGTTAAGAGAAAAAAATATAGAAATTTCAATTCTTTTACCCATAGGCTATTTTCAAAGGGTGGGTAAATGAGCTTTTTCTTTGTTTGATAGAGGTAAAACAAAAAGAAAGGAAAAAGGAAAGAAAAACAAAAGAAAAAAAAAACAAGGAACCCTAGCAACCCATTTCCTCTCCAATCGTGAGCCACCGCCCACGCTTCTTCTTCCTCCCGTCGCCAGTCACGAGCTCTCCTACCCGACGACCGGCGCAACCCCCTTCTCCAACGACAATAGCAGACCGTGCGACGCGGTTTGTGGCAGCGGCGGCGACATTCGTGGCGGTAGCAGCGACGCGGGGTGTTTTCCGGCGGCGCAACATCCTTGTTTGGCTTTCGTGGAGGTCGGCGACCTCGGTTGCAGCTTCTACATGCCTCACAGCAGCGTCAATATCAGTAGTTGGGTTCTCTTCGTCGCGAAAACGTTTGCAGCAACTTGTCTTGCAGCATTAGCACCTACTCTTGATCGTTTGAAATCCGATTGAGGCAAATCCACACCCAGTCGAACTTAACCCGAGTTACCCACATCTAATCGAGGTCGATTTTGCAGTAACAGATTTCCTATTTCCCCATTTTTGATGGTTGGAGAATTCGTTTTGATGGTTGGTTTTTGGTCTTTTGTTGCATAGGTATTAAGTCGACGTGAGGTTAGGAATGTAGCAGTGAGTAAGTAGTACCAAGGCGTGTGCGTGCGTTGATGTGTGCTGATGGATGTTGTTCCCTCTGTTTTCTTTGTTATGAATTCGTTTCTTTTGCTATTTAATTGTTGAACACAGTTGTGAGGACGATCTGCCATGGAATCTTGCCGTTCTTATTTTTTTGTGTTTATTTGGGATATGTACATAGCCTGTATCCATGACTGCTGTTTGTAACCATGGGAACTTGCTGATTGTGGTTGGAAGTATTTAAGTTGAGTTAAATACGGTTTATTTGGAACCTTGGATGCATGTATTCGCCTGCGCTGATAATTGTTGAGTTAGGAGACTTGTACGATTTAGTTGAGAATTGTGAGTTACTTTCCTTTTGTATACTGTAAAATATGATGGAAGACAATTTGGGATTTGAACGAAAGTGAACCGTCCGTCCGATGAGTTGAAGAGATTGGTTGTGAATTGTCTGAAGTGGGGAAACATGTTAATTGTTCTCTTTTTGTGAACCATATAAAGTGGTAGAGCAAGCTAGCGGTTATGTTTGTGTAACTTGTTGAATTGATGGACTTGTGAGTTGTTTCATTTTTTATGTGAATCGCCTGAAGCGATAGAATAGGTTGGTGGTTCTGTTTGTAGTGTTTAATATATTGGACTATTATGAGATTATTGATGCAGGAGGCATGACTTGGTAGCAAGTAGGACTCTTGTGAAAGTGTCGAGATTCAATGAGTGAGCGGATGAGTAACTGGGCCAGAGGGCTGGCACACCACTAGTTGGGTATCGAGGCTCCAGGTACAAAGGTCGGGGATCGATACCCCGACTTTGGTAGAGATGAGTGTCGAGGCTCTGGGTACCAAGGTTGGGGGTCGGCATGATGATTCTATTGATGAGTAGTGTTGGGTCTTGATGTGGTGGCGGTCAAGGACCAACATGCCTAGTAGACGTCGAGGTCTTGGGGATAAATGCCAAGGATCGATGTACAGTTCGAGGCCTCAGAACTAAAGGTCAAAGTCGAACGCCAAGCTTCTATGGAGGAGTGTCGGGCCCTTGGGTACAAAAGGGCAAAGGTCGACACGATTCGAAGAGTTAGACTTGGAGGACTAACCTGGTATACATGAGTAGAAATATGTTGGAGGGCTAGAGTCTAGAGGGCTTCGTGGTCGATGTTTCGTGTGTTGTTTGTTATTTGGGATGCACGTGAGGATGTTTTCTTGTGATGTTGTTGTGGCTTTGAGCATGCTATTTGTATATAGTTAGTGAGGGTTACTTATAGGGTATTTTATATACTCACCCCCCTACCTTTATTTGTTTCAGGTGCAGACCGAGTCCTTGGCCATNTCAGGTGCAGACCGAGTCCTTGGCCATGGTAATGACGTGGGGAGGCTTGACCGTGGAAAGACCACCTAGGTTGTGTCACTCAAGTCTAGGATAGTTGAGGGTGATTCGATTGTCGGGATGTATGGGAATTGGTTGTTGGTCGTAAACTAGTCTTCGTCTCTTTTGTCCGTTATTTATTATTACTATTGTTATTGCAAAAAGGGATTACTTTGTTTCCGTTCCAGGTGGACTATAGATGTTACTTATTGAAATTATTCATTGTTTTGGTTGTTGGACGAACAACAGGTTTTTTTTCCTTAAAATATGGATCTGTTAGCCCATTGAAGGCAGACCTTTTGTTTTGGAAATGGGTTAGTAGTAAGAGTCGTTCCCTTTAATTATTGTATTTGTTGCGTTATGTTCCGTTATTAGGAAGAAGGCTGCAGTGGGAGTTTAACGACGTTACCCCATGAGTGTTGTGAAATTTGGGGGCGTTACAGGGATCATCTCAACTCATTTCCTCTTATTTTGGTGGGGAGTTCAACCAACTTTGAGCCCTATTTAAAGAGAGCCTCCCCTAGCAGTTCATCATCGATTTTGGCATCCATTCTCATTTAGTCTCACCTTTTTAGCATTCGTTTTTAGCTTAGAATTTAGAATTTGCTGTATTTATTTTTTCCTTTGTTATTTTCTTTATTTTCGAAAACTCCAGTGTTGTTCTAGTTTTAATTTAAGTTTTTTTTTTTTAATTTTTTCATCATCTTTTAATTTCCTTTAGCGTTCTTTAGCGAGTTTAAACTCCCTTCAAGCTCTAAAGAGAAGAAAGTTAAGCTATAACTCTTTGTACGTCGTTATTTTTGCAATTAATTCAGTTTTGAACCTCTTTGTGGAATGCCTTAGAAAAAATAATTAATGTCAACACGGTCGAAAAAATGCCTAGAATGCTCCAAACGCATTCTTGGAGTGGTTTCTAAAAACTTTTCTTTAAGTCTTTTCTCGATTTAGCCATTGGAAAATTGATCTATGCACCGAAACCCAACACTGAGAATGTTAGATTAGGTTGGTCCAAAAGCAAATGAGTTGATAAATACATTCTAGGGTTGCAATCACACATAGAAATATGATTGTAGATTACTCTAGGCTATGCAACAACCAAAAGCGATTCATGAAAGAGTAGAACTCAGCTTTCCAGAATTAGCCAAGTACCTTTCTTCCAACTTGTGTATTTTCTATATTTTCTACCAAAACTAAAGCAGGAAGTAGGGAGGTTGTCTTTTATAAAGAAGCTTGACATTTGCAACCACAAATAATAACTTTTATCCCCATTTTTTTCCATTAGCATCAATTGAATTTTTTGAATCACTTCACTTCATAACATTTTCGAGGCAAAAGTCCCTGAGGATTCGATCTTGGAATTGCTTCCGAGTATTACTTGTGACCGTGTACACTTGAACGTGTCTCTTAACTCTTAACTTTTAATGTAGAGAAAGTCCAAACACTACTTAAAATAGCGTCGAAAATTAAAACCCTAACARCAAAGAACGAAAATTTTCTTGAAATTTCGAGTGCACTAACCTAGCTGAAGGTCCGAAATTTTCTTGAAAACGATGATGATGTTGGTGATGGATAGGTGCAAATCGATGTGAGATTGAGAGGGAAGAGATTGATGACGTTGGCGATAGTGCAGATGTTAGAGAAATAGTCTGGGTTGACGTTGGCGATAGTGCAGATGTTAGAGAAATAGTCTGGGTTGACGTTGGCGTTGGCGTTGGAGATGGATGGGTGCTTTCCAAGATAGGAAGGGAAGGGAAGGGTGAGAGCTAAGATAGGAAGGGAGGGAAGGGAACTAGGATTAGATTGGGGTTTTTCAAAAATCGAAGGTGACGTGATAATTTCACCTTTCCAAATTTTGAGAGGAGTCCAAACTTAGTTATGGTGGGTCACAGATAAGTATTTATAAAAAGGGGCTCAAAATCTAAATGTATTTGGAAAATGGGTCATATATCCCAACTTCTGTCGCAGATGAATGTTTCTAGAAAAGGGGTCAAAAATCCAACTTTAATAAAATTATTAATAAAGGGATTATCCCAATTAGCCATCCAATGGCCATTTACCCGTCATTCGTTTAGAGACGAGAAATCTGAGGGGAAAATGGAAAAATAAAAATTACAATCTGAGCCATGGAAGAGTCTCAAGAAATCCTACTGAACTCCCTCCAAAAATCCGGTGTTTCAGTCCCGCCAGATGTTCCCTCGATTCGGAACTTGACTCCTTCGAACTTGTTCTCAATCTGCGCTCAGGTCTTGAATCGCATAAATGGCCAAACTAAAATCCACTACTCCACTTCTCTCCCACTCTACGTCGCCGATCAGTTCAAGATATGTACGGAAATCGCTTCGGATATTAAGGATCTGGGTTACATAGGAGATATGAGCTTCCACAAGGTAAGTTTGATTTTCTGCCTCTTTGGTCATTGACAAATTTTGGGAAATTACGAGGAAAAACTATTTGTTTTCGGATGTAAAAAACAAATTCTGTTGTAACTGTACTTGGTTAAATTATAAGTTTACTCTAATTATGTCTATTTAGCCAGGCCTGATTATTCTAAATTTTGGTTGAGTTAGTCTGATGTAGTTAGCATTCTATTGATTGTGAAGTTCAAGGAGTAATTAAATTGGTGCTGAAAAAGAGAGTAGCAAATTTGTAATCTGTTTATAGTTCTTTTGAACATACTAGCTCTTGGACATTAGCAAAAACTAAGGCATTTGTTTTGGATATTCGTCTGCAGTTGTTACTGAGCTTAATATATTTTTGAAATTGTACTTAGAAACAGACTCCATGTGTTGCTTACAACAGTTCTTGTATCCATCTGAAGAGGACTTGTATAAGTTGATAAGATTCTTGGTGGAGAGGCTTCCTGAAGCTTCTGATGGAAAATCTAAGGTTTTGGAAGATGGTGATTATGGTAGAAAAGAATTGAGAGCTGACACTTCCCAATCAGATAAGGTTGATACTGGTGCTGTTTTTACACATCAGATGGTTGAGAACAAATTTGCTGATCTTAATATTATGGCTGAAGAGACGAAATCTTCAGATCCCATCATCAGTAGACTCTCTAATTCTTGTCTTGTTCGAGAAAGCATGTCTGAAGCGGCTATGGATGATAAAACCAATTCTGGGAAATGGGAAATATCTAATGATAGTCTTGTCGATGCCCCCGAAGGTCCATCTGGGGCTTCAGGGAGTGAAGCTGTTGTACAGGGGAATAATAGACAGGTCTCAACTTCCAAACATGAAGTCAGTTCTTACATTCAAAAAATATGTGAAGTACGTACTTTTCTCTTAACTTGAAACAATTGTTAGCATCCGTCATTGTGAAAATCTAGATTTAGAATCGATTGAATATGTAAGATAGTAAAGAAATGGTCAATTCATTGGGAAAGGTATTCGGTTAGATGATATAAAGAATATTTTATTTCTTCGACATATATTCTTGTTTTAAACAATAAATGATACTGAGCAACTTCAGGATGAAGAGAGTAGACCATTAGAAGTGGTCAGTGCAAATTCTGAATTAGAGCATCTTCAAATAGAGTTAGAAAGGTTGAAGGAAGTGGCCGAAATTGTATTTGATGACAATCATTTAATTGAATTCCATCTTCAGCAACTGGAGGAGCAAATAAACTCTAGAAAGCTGAATCTTCTTGCAATGAAGTCAAAGTGGTAGGGCATCATTTTAATTTGATGGCTGACTGATTTTCGCTCTGCTTCTGCATTATTTTGTATATTTAGAAAGCCAATTTCATAGAGAAATTAATACCAAGATGTAGATTTCATTTATTTCTTTTTCTTATCACTGATCATTACAGGGATGCAGAAAGGGAGCTTTTGGAAAAGAAAAGGCGAAGTCTACAAGAATCGCTATGTGCAAGTAATCCAGAGGCTCAAGAAAAGCTGCAAAAGTTGAGGGAGTTTGAACTGGAAAAGGAGCTCATCGAGTCTGAAATCAGGAGGCAGTATGCAGCTTCTTTGAAAATTAAATATGAAAGGAAAAAGGATTCCAAAACCGAAACATGTTTTTAAAAATGACATTTTTCTAGTTTTTAAAATTTGGCTTAGATTTTAAAAACGCTTTTAAAAAGTAGATAACAAAATAAACTTGAACGTGAGGGTATGTTTATAACTTCAATTTTCAAAGCTTGAAACAAATGGTTACCGAACAAGCCATAGATAACCAGTTTTATTTAGATGTACGATGTACCCTCCAATGTCTTGGGTTCAAGCCATCGAGTTTAGAACTTGATAAGTTAAACTCTTTGTATCTCCCCAAGAGGAGGGTATCCCTGAGAATAATGCAAGAAGTTTATTCCTGATACCTTAGTTATCACAAAAAAAAAACATAAAACAAAAAAAAAAGGTCAGTGGTTTCTTGACCAAGCTAGATTTTGAAAACCAGTATCAAGCTTTCTTGATGTTTAGTTATAACATAATAGGTCTTCTTTCTGGGTGTGTCGGTGGGTTTGGCATAATAACATTGATGTTGCTGATAACAAAGAGTATCTGTTTCTGGAGGCAATTTATCGGGATCTATCGCGTGTCATGTTACCATTTATATCCAAAAGTCGGTTCATAAGTTTCTTTTGCAATCTTGACCTCGTCTTACATATTTTATCTTTCGTTAAAAAATGAGATATTATCTATTTTCTACTCCAATTCGAAGATAAGCAAGATAAAGGTTGCTGAGGAGTTGTGCTTCTTGTTGGCTGATTACCATCTCTTGTTTATATCGAACAATATTGATCTTTTCCTCAACTTGTCTACCCTTCTTCAGGGAGGAGGAGAATTCCAAGCTCTCTACAGATCTTAAGAAGCAGCCCAAACAAGTATCGAGACGATCTTATATCAATAGAGTTAAGGAGATCACGAAAAACAGTCGGAAACAAGATGCTGACATTGATCGAATCCTTAAAGAAACTAGAGAGCTTCAGCTAGAAAGTAACAATATCCGTGAACGCCTCCATAGAACCTATGCAGTTGTCGATGAGCTAGTTCTCAGGTATGCACCACAGAGCAAGTGGAAAATGTAACAGAACTATTGATCTTGGCTTCAACTGGTCTTTATTGATTGGTTCACAGTGATGTAGTATTAACGTCCTGCTTCTCGTCCTTCATTTAGTTTCATTCTCTACCGATAAGTTTTTGTTCAGCTGGGGTACAATAGCTGAAATGATTCATGTATATGCAGGGAAGCGAAGAAAGATGCCGTAGGTAAGCAGGTGCACACGATCCTGACTAGTATCCATGAGAGCTTTGGAGAGATCTCGAACAAAATCCTGTCTACCGATAGACTAAGAAGAGAAATTTCAGAGCACGAGAAGAAGATAGCAGCCTCGGCATCCCGGAGTTTAAATTTTAACAATCTACAGTCTGATCTTGATGTTATCAAGAGGGAAAATAGTTACTTGGAGCAACATCTTTGTCATAAAAAACCCATCGACCAAGAGTAGAATATTTTCTAGTCATTCATCAAACTTTCTGCAGCAATTACATTCTGTAGAAAAGGAGAAAATAGTACATACAAATGACATATATTCTTGTTTAATGCTTTCATTAGTTGGTTTGTGTGATGGCTTCTGAAATAAGCAACTTTTGGCTTTTATTGTGGTTGCAACATCAATTTTAAGGTAGGGTATTGCTTGATCTACAAGGTATTCGCATTTGGACCTTGGTGGTTGTTAGGCCGTTTTAAGTCTGTTTCATCCTTCATATTTCTTATGTTTCTGTAATGATTGAGGGCATGGTTCATATTTTGATGTTTCTGTAATGATTTAAGGGCATGGTTGAGAATTATGTTTTTGCATGAGTAGAATCGCTTTTACCGGTGCAAAATCACCCTTTTTTTTCATGATTAGAACCACCTTTACTCTTGTAATTAAATAGAATGTTTGGTTGATTTTTTTTCATGATTAGAACCACCTTTACTCTTGTAATTAAATAGAATGTTTGGTAAGAATTTATAAGTGATTCTCAATCAATCACTTTGAGGGTGATTCTCCAAGTGATTTTTGACCAAAAATTAATAGAAAATTAATTTTTAAAATATTTATTGTTTTCTGTAAATTAATAGAAAATTAATTTTTAAAATATTTATTGTTCTAATTTTCAAAATTTTCTTTTTATTTACTTTATTTTCATCTTAAATTTTGAGACTTTTTTCTTTTTTCTAAAATTTTGCCACCCTCTAATTTTTTTATCTTTAATTTTGTTTATTCTCTATAGTTTTTTCCTCTAAAAATTTTTAATCTCTCCCTCTTAATTTTTTTTTGTTTCCAATCTCCTTTTTAAGTTTATTTCTCTGTATAAAATTTTTGTCTCTCCCTCAAGGTTTTTGTCTCTCATTTTTTTCTTAAATTCTCTATTTAAACCTTAAATATTAACAATTCAAAATCATTTTTAATTATATAAAAATCAATTGAAAAAGTGCATGACAAAATGTTAAAATAATTATATAAAACTCATTTTCACAAAATATATTATCATTAATCTCTGGTGTTAAAATTACTTGTTTTAAAATCATTCCCAAATATGTCCTATAAGTATTTGAGAATCAATTTTCTTTTTATATGCAAAAAATTATTTGATGATAATTTGTCGAAAAAAATAATTTAAATAGAAAAAATTAAATTTAAATATATATTTTAGTATAACAAATATAGGGATTATAGATTAAAACTTCAACTTGTAGGAAGGGACAAGATGCTTCCAGAAGAAAGAATGTCCTACGTAATGTTTTATTAATCTATTACATTTTCTATCTGTATATTTATCCTCTCTAGTCAAATCAATCAATATTTGTTCAAAATATATGACATATTATAATTTTTTAAGAATATTACATTATACGTAGAGATGAAAATTTGAACCTACGATATTTTTTTAAAAAGTAGATAGATCTTAACTGTTGAGCATTCCGTTTGTTGCATATCGACAAATCAATCAAAATTTGTCCAATAAACCTAATACATTCATCCATCATCATCTAAAAATTACGGTGTGCTATATAAAGGAGGGGCAGATATTCTCATAACACTAGAAATTTTCTAACTAGGCTATGTGAACCATCTTATTAGTCCCATTCATGAAACCTCAACGTCTCCGTAAACAACAAACCAACGTCGGTTCAGATTTTGTACCAGCTGTGATCAACGCTTTCCACGTGGGCATTCCAAAGGTCTGCCACGTGACATCCATCCCTGGACCCCACTTTCGTGTACCATATAAAACAAACAATCCAACCCCAAAACATACCAATATCATTACATTACATATTTGTTTGGTTGTTTTTTGTTGGGTTATTTTTTTGTTTTTTTGTTTCTTGAATTTCTCCAATAATCTTTTGAGATAGTTTTACGGGTCTCTTTGTTCCCCAATGATTTTCTCCCACCATTTTTGTCCATCTTCCATTACAAGAGAATGCCATCGCCATTGTGGGTCCATTAATTTCTTCCATTGATGAGTGATTTCAACAGAAATCTATTGGGAGGGAAATGGGGTTTCTTGATTCTTTGCTGGGAAGAGATTCAAGGAAGTTTATCAAACGCAAAGACAGCGATGCAGGAGAAGCAGGTGAATTTCTTTTTTCTTTTTTGTTTTTCAAATCCTGTTGGTCCATTTTCTTTTCCCTTTCCTCTAGCATTCAAAAGATTCGTTTGATTCCCTGCCCATTTAGTTCATTCTTCAATTCTGGCATCTGGGGTTGTGTTTTTCCCTTTTCTTTTCCTTCTTATCAATTGGCATTGTGTTCTTCAAATCCAAATTCATGTATATTACTTGATCAATCATGGAAGAACAATGGATTAATATTAGCCCAATTAATAACTAGAGTTTGTACATTCATTGATTTGCATTTGGGGAATTCGTAATTCTCATTGTTGATATTAGGTGTGGAAAATTAAACCCCATTTGGGATTGAGGATTCCATTTTGTATGATGTTCACCATTCCCATGAATAATGCAGATTCATTGCCACATCAAATTTGTCCACTGTTTTCCTATTGATCATTGGTTTTGTTATCTATGTTCGTGGACAGAAGTTCTCATACTCTATAAATCCGCAGGCCGAGCGCTCGAAGAAATTAGAGGCTCGCTCTACAATGAACTACGAACCTCGGACGGCGCCAAACGCCAACAGCAACGATATTGCGGACCTGTTGTGGCAATGACATTCAATTTCATGGTTGCTGTTGGGATTATAATGGCAAACAAATTAGTAAGAATGTTACTGTTTTCTCAGCAAATGATTTGTGTTTGGTTTCTGGTTGAGAATGAACCAACCTCTACATATGATTTATTTAGGCCATTTTGTCAGCTGTTTTTGTTTCCTGCAGGTGATGGGAAGAGTTGGATTTAACTTCCCAATATTTCTCACATTAATCCATTATACCGTTGCTTGGTTTCTACTAGCAATTTTCAAGGCACTCTCTTTGCTTCCTGTTTCTCCTCCTACCAAAACCACTCCCTTCTCTTCTATTTTCTCTTTAGGTGCTGTCATGGCTTTTGCTTCAGGTCTTGCCAATACTAGTCTGAAGCATAACAGGTTTCCCGCTCGGATTTCTTTTTTCCTTTTCTTTT